GGGGGGTTCCCAAATCCAACCTCACCCCAAAAATCCCAATCAAAAAAAAAACGCCAGCCTTAAGCAAAGGCACTCATACACACTCCCAGAATAAGAAAAAGGCAAAATCAAATAGACGCACAAGGCACCACCGAGGTTTAGATTTAAGAGACCAGCGCCGCAGGCGCTGGAATGGCCGGACGGCCGGAATGACAGCCTCGCTCGTGGCGCTTCATGTTGGACCGGACTGAGAAGGCCTTTCCACAACCGGGGTGCGTGCAGTGGAATGGTTTCTCGCCCGTATGCGAGTGCGAGTGGATGCGCAGACTCGAGGGTCGGGAGAAGGCCTTGTGGCAGGTACGGCAGATATATCGGTCGTGATTTTGTTGATAGGGGGCTGCGTTGGAGGGGGGGAAGTAATGGTGGTGTTGGTGTTGCCAAGCGGGAGTGACGGGGGAGATGAGAGGAGGCGATTGTTGGGTTGGCGTGGCTTGTTGTTGGATTGTTGGAGAGGTAGTGGAGGTGATGGTGGTGGTGTTGATTGTGGGAGGGTTGAAGGTTGCGTTGCTTGGGGGGCGGGGGTAGTAGAGGGTCGTGTTGTTGGGGGGGTTGGATTCCACGGGGGAGGTATAGGATGATGAAGAGGTGGAGGAGATGCTGGGTGCTGGAGAGGCGTAGGGCCCGTGGGAGTGGTGAGGTTGAGGGGCGGTGGAGCTGGTGGTGCTCGAGATGGAGGAGCGGTGCGAGACGTGTTTGGGAGTGTTTAGCTCGACGGGGGAGTGGGCGACGCTGCCGTGACCGGATCCCGAGCCTGGACGGAGTGGTGGGGTCGGAGGCATGCAGACGGTGTCGTAGCGAGCATCGCGCTGGTGAGCGGGTGGGCTGAGACGTTGGCGCTCTGATTGTGCTGTTAGTGATCGATTCATAGATTGTAATAAAGGAAGATATAGAGAACTATACTATAACTAGATACCATAGTGCTATAATCTCATAGCACTATAGATCTTGTATAGAAGTTTCCCAAGGATCCAAGGACTACTCACTAGCTGAGTGCTGAGCTCCATCTGCGCCCTCGAGCAACGTGGAGATTGAAGGCAATGAACACTTGGGTTGATCCTCCACTGGGGGCGAAAGAGGCGCTTGTAGAGAGCGCTTGCCGTATGTCTCGGTATAGAGCTTGGGGGCCGGGGCGGCGCCGTGGAGAAGGCTTGCCAAATCCATAATGGTAGAATGTACTCCGGGTAGGAAGGGTCGGTGGGAGAGAATAGGTAGATATAAGATCGATACCTAGATAACCTCGGGGGTTGAGAGGAGAGAAGGAGGAGGTGGTGGTACTTGGGAGGACGATGGCAGAACGAACCAAAGAAAGGAAACCTGATCATGTATGGGGAGACACGAGGGTTTATAGTTCGGCGCCAAACCAGGAGAAAGTCAAGGACACTACCAGAGCCAAGGACCATGGCCACACCCACCACCACAACCACATCCACAACCAGGTGGCCGGGTTTCGCGTGGATGATCGCCCGCGGGCGATGCCGATTGTGCCTCCTCCACTTTTTGCCATTCGCATTTTTCCCACTTTTTCTTTTCTCCTCCTCCTCCTCCTCCTCCACCCCGTAATCTTACCAGTGTACACGGATATACAGAAAGTGGGGCTACGAATTGACCACCGTGATGGATGTAGACGGAGGACGGAGAAGATGTACGATAGAGGTAAGAGACTAATACGTACACTACAGATCACAGTGTAAGACCTCGAGATCGAGTCTGGGATTACAGGAGGGATGTACATTTCCGGCTTCAACGCAAGCAGTCAATGGGGTGAGACAGTCCGTTCCAAAGCTTAATTTAATTAACGATGAAATAAATGGCTTCTTTTTTTCTCTCTCTCGTAGAAATACCGTGAAAATAAATTCCTTTTGACTTTTTTTTTCCGATTTAATTTTGGTCTCGGAGATTAACCCTGCAAGTGGAGCCGCCATGACGATTTGCCCACGCGAACAAGAAAAAAGAAATATGAAGAAAAAAACCCCCACCACTGGAGAGACCAGCAAGCAGGCAACCCGGTCGAGGGTGCCTCTCCACCTATCACCGTCCACCAGTGTGTCTTCGCTCCGCTAACGCGATTTGGCTCGAACTCGGGTCCCCACACAAATCCGTCCGACTATGCAATGGGAGCCCCAGCATGGCCATGCCGAGCTAGACCTAAAAGAGCAAGAACTGGAGAATAGACTGGACCTACCATTGAAGCCCACCGAGTCCAGGATTCACCACGCTAGACTCGATCGAGGAGGCCGGAAAGTCCCCGTTCACCCTCGGCTACGGTTAGTGCAGATCCTGCTTACCTGTCACATACTAGCCCCATAAACGGCCGATCGCACCGAACCTGATCGTACGTCGATCCCTCGCGGGTTTTGCTTTTTTTTCGTTCGCCTTTTTGGCTTTTTTAGCGAGGGTGTTTTCGATTTTTTTTTTCCTTTTTCTTTTCTCGTATTGGTGCGTATTACATGGTGTGCATCTGCCGATGCCCATCTTATACTGTACTTACTCCTCCGTGCACCGTGCGGGAAGGGTGTAGCTTTCTCGGTCGAGGAGGACAGTGTACTTTGATTCTTGCCCAGCAGACAGTATACTAAATATTGTTAAATGTCATAATGCTTATTATAGAAAAGTATCTATTCACGTTGTTCTCATAAACCCCCCCCCCCTCTTTTTGCCTCTACCACCCTCCCATCCGTCGGGAATCTCACCAACACCCTAGATTTCCCCCAAAATCCGAAAACCCCGGATTTCTTTGAGAGAACTGTCGCGTGGCTAAACGAGGGGGGGGGGGGGTCATCAAATGAGAAACAACCAAAATCACAGACCAAGCGAAGTCACTTAAACCAGGCAAAGCGAAAAGGGAAGGTCATAAAAGGTGGGATCCGGGCGCTAAGCCCAAAATCACCATATCTCCGATGGGGCCAGAACGTCCCCTGTCCAGTATACAGTACCCACTGATTTCATTCCCGCTGCTTTAGCGCCCTCGATGTGCTGGCCAGCAGTTCCCTGGTTTCAGGAGCTGCGCCTGGGTGGATGGTCATTGGTTCCTGGTGGGACGGAAACCCTACCTATGCACCCTATTCCATTCGTTCCTCACTTTGATTAAATCGATTCGGCTCTGTTGCATTATTACTTTGTAACTACTCCGTACTCCGTACAATAGATCCATATCTCCGTTCTCATCACGGAGTCTTTACTATGTACGGTGACTCGCTACGCAGAACAAAACTCGTCCCCTCATGGAAGGGGTGGCGGCTCCTAAGCGCTCGGGACTCTCCCATGTGGGCTCGCTTACGAAAACCTTCTTCTGCCTGGGCCTGCATGCTGCATAGACTTTGGGAGAGGGTCCGAGAGTTTTTGTAGGAGAGTTTCAGCGTACGAGAGAATTGAAGCAAGTGATGAATGGATGCATGAGGTAAGAACCAGGTGGCCATGCGCTGCAGAACCACCACTACTCCGTACTGTAAACAAGTATGTAGCAGCTAGGTTGGACGGTGATGCACGGTCGGCGGGTCGAAGGATCTTCCCCCCTCCGATCATGATCAGCGTCGTCATTTCGAGAGAGTGAACCAAACCATAAGGATAGAAATAGAAATAGGTTTCTGTCGGTGGAGCTGGAGTAAGGAGAAGAAGGAAGTTGGGAGCGGACATCTCTATGTCAACGAGGAAGGTGCTAGAGGCAATCAAAACTCTCTAAAAAAAAACGGTGTCGATCTTCGAAAGGGTCACTACTCTTCTTTTCAATATTCTCTCGTTCCTTCTCCTGAAGATCTCCAGGGCCATGGCTAGTAGCCCGGCTCCCATAGTGAAAGGAAATCCCGAGGGGCGACCGAGACCCGAGAAGCAGGGCTAAGGAGAGCAGGCATGGAGGGGGGAGCGAGACCCGCGCGACCAGCCTCTTTTGGGACGTGGAAATGATCTGAGTGATCGGCGTTCTGGAACGAAAGGGGGAACGGCTGCCCTTTCGTCCACGGCAGTCCCAACAGGTGTCGCAGAGTGACAGACTCCCAGAACGAAAGAGACCTTGGGCTAACAGGGGCCGTGCACGGTTTTTCTGCGCCGCTAGCGATCGGGGATTGGCCGTTATCAGTGGAGTCTGCATTCCCGACCTCGTGGAAGCGAGGTCTCCACTTGGCTTGGCCGTTTTGGCCAAGATCGCCTGCTCCGTGCGTGTGGATTGGTTGCGTCGGCTTGGGTTGGGTGGATGATTCATCAAGGATGCGTAACTAACTACGAGACATGAATTGTGACAGTGGTACAGTGTGAGCGGTACTTGGTGCCTTTTGAGTTATCCGTGGATCGGCAGCGAATGGCACCGTCGAAGTTTCGTAGAATGGGGTTGACCAGGGGCGAAATGGACAAAAAAGCAAAAAGCAAGATGGAAGATTGCTGTCGAAGCACGGATCATTATCTACCTACCGGAAGAGGACTGACTTGTAAAACTAAGCTGGTCGTACAGTTCATCCTCGGACTCAGCAGTTGACACTGCAGCTGTGCAGCTATGCAGCAACGCGCGTGGAAAAGGGCTCGACCGCCATGATCCACGCCCTAGGGCGATCCTCCTAATCCTGTTTGGATGGCAATACGCCCTGGCTCGGCAAATCTCTCTAATTGGAAGGACGTGGGAGAAATACGGGATCTACAAGTATACACACAAGACCCGACTATGGAGAATGTAATCAAGATACTACGGTGCCGTCCGTGAATAAACAACTAGCATCCGCAGTCCATATATCAATGATTGACCAAATACACCCAGTGTAGTCGGGACCTTCTCCACCACTTCGACCTTCCGGCACTTCTCATCGGGATCGACACTCGAGTGAACCGGCGGTAGAATTGCGCCGAGCACGATTGGCGCCCCTTGCGGCTCGTGCGGTCGGCTAGATGCTGTCCAATTTCCCATGACGGAGTCAGGGCACCTCCGCTGTGACATTCCCGGCTCTTCCATATGGTGCGAGCCCTTTGGTCTGGCCTGGTTGTAGGTTTAGCTAAAACTTTTGCCAGCCAAAACCTTGCCGACGATGGAGTTGTGCGTACCACCGGTTCGGACGGGGAAGCTTCCATCATCTTTCTTCGTTTCAACTACGACCTAGAACGTGGAATGGGGATCACTGAGCGTGGTACATGGTACACCCTCGTCAAAAACTTACCGCATGTAGATCCAGTGTCCGTACTGTACCAGACCTACTCTTGAGGATCAGGATCCAACTCAATGTTAATCTGCCGTGCCCACCCTCTCATTTCCACCAGCTAAACTCTGTTGAACAAGACATTCCTTTCTTGAATGCCCATCCAGCCACCCTGAAGTTAAAACGGCAAAATGGTGACCCGGGCCCGGCCGCCTGGGTCGTGGTAGTGGTACAAGCCTGGACGGCGTTTGCTTAGGATAAAGCGTATACGCAGTAATCGACAGAGTAGAACTTACTTCAAAACCTACGGCAGGAGCATGACGATGACTCCATACGCACTCTGCCGTGGCCGTAATTAAGGAGTGTTCTCGCGTGGCTGGGAGGGGTTTTGGCCTTGGTCCCTGGGTCCAAGGCAAGACATTAGAGCTCATACTAGTATAGTGCATATACTACAGTAGCTATCGGCTATCACACGTAAAACGTGGCGTGGCCAGACTATTACGCTTTGAGCTCTTCGTCCGGGTACCGCGGTGATCGATCGGGGATCATCTGGGGGGCGTCCGAGCGTGGCCCCATGGCCACGCGAGACAAGCCCCCCTTTATTTCACTGGAGTTGTGATCTAACTACTTTCCTTTCTTTTTCCTCTCGTTTGGAGTTATTAAGGATGCTGTAGTTTGTTTTTCCCTTCACAAGGTAAAATAAAAATAGGATATTCAATAGTCAATCATAGGCGCAGAAACCCGGGAAATCGTCACAGTGGGGCCAGCACAGGCCCGTCTGTACTTTTTACGAGGTGCGTCTGCTGGGGTGATTCGAGGCTTCGTGAGTGGAATGAATCATGGTCGCGAAATATTATTGCAATTACGATTATATTGCTTGTGGGACTGCGTCGTAGTGCGTACATGATGTGCCCTTGTTTCGTTGTTCCAGCCACATGTGGTTGGCTTGACGAACACATGGCACTTGCAGGATGCAGCCGCACGCCGTAACGAGCACGCTTGCATCTGACCTCTAAGAATGGTACTTTATTCACTTTGTTCTGGGCACAGCCCTTGGCTGCCACGCTCACTGTGCATGAAAGCGCTTCTTTTCTTCAAGGACAGAACACGGGTCACGAGTCGGCAGATTACCTCCCGCTCTGTGCAGGTTCAAGAATGTAATTTGCGACCGACCTTAGAAGAAGGAATCATGCCATGGTCCACGTCTGTCCCCTAGGAGATCTGCAGCTCGGCGCCCCGGGATTTGGGGCAACGGACACCGAT